CCAACGATTATATAGGTTTTGGAATGTCAGCGAGGCTGTGAGAGTTGATATAGCATTATGCACTTTAGTGTAGGTGTTTAGGGTTATTTAGTGAGTTGGATCTTATTGGGCTAAGAAATGAAACAATAAAATGGGTAATTGTGCCAAAAATTAAAAAATTAGAAATGAAACAAATTATTAGGTCAAAAATTTAGATTTAGAAATTGTTAATTTGTTTAGAAAAAAATTAAAATTAAAATAATTTGATTTATTCAATATAAAAAAATTAGAAAGATTCGGTTCTTATTCGGTTCTTGGTCTAGAATCGAGAATCGAACCGTACCCATCGGTTCTCAATTCAGATATCCGTTCGGGTATTTAATTTGATAAGAATCGTCGGGTTCGATTCGGTTTGGTCGGTTCGGTTGGGGAGATTTGCCCAACCCTAATCACTTAGATAAAAAAATTGATTTGCGCCTTCTAATATAACAAGTGAGCCTATCAATATAGTTCAAATATTTTTTAAACTAAATAAGTAATTTAAATATTGTTGAAGCTACGATTTTCAATGAAGAAAATAAATAAAATTTTTATTTTTAAAATTTTTCAAATTTGGATCGGATATCCTTTAAGCATAGCTAATCGGATATGAATTTAAAATTCAAATATATGTGAGATTATTGGATCGAATAATTATTCTTTACTGATCGAATCAAATTTGAGCAGATCCGATCCATTTATAGTCCTACTTGGAGATGCTCTAATGATGCTATTAAACCAAACGATCCCAATGCGAAGGGGTTGACCTTGTAATTTCTGATATCATATTAACTATTAATTGTTAAATTATTAAATTAAGTTACTCGTCCATCATTTTAAGTTACCCACGAACTCACAAATTCCCCAATTTTCATAAATCATCACAATTCACATAATAAATCTCTAATCAAATAATCAATACATAAAATAGGGATAATTGCAACAAAAGTTTCAAACCTTTGAAACACTATCAACTTTCCTCAACTCTTTCAATCATTGTAGTTGTCACTCCTAACCTTTCAAACCGTTGTATATGAAGCTCTTTTGGATGGCTTTCATCCAAAATTTCATTAGTTGACCCACAAAATAATTTTGACCATATTTTAACAATTTTAAAGGATAGAATGGTAACTTTTCATTTTCCTATTATAAACTATGAAAATATTAAAATTTAAAATTAAATAAAAAAGAAAGAGAAGGAAAAATAAACCGAACTTCTTCCCCAACCCACCACGCACTAGCTGTCCCAAATAAATCCATTTGGCACCACGACGTTCTTCTTCTTTGTCCCTCCATCTTCGCCACCACATGTCGCCAACATGGCTGTGGACTCGTCGTTATTTTTCTATCCTCCATCTCAAATTCTAATCAAACTAGAATAACATCATCCCACCATCGCCGCGTAAATCGCTACCACTACCTCCTCAAACCCATTACAAAATTTCCTTACCCAGAATCTACCAATCTGCATAATGAAAAAAAAAAAAAAATCATATGAATGTGTTCATGGAAATGGATACAAGAAATAATTGCATTAATGAAGTAGCATAACTTTAGAAATAACAGTCCACTTCCCCCCCTCTTTTTTCCTTTTGGCAGCAAGTCGCTTAACCCTTTTTTCCCCTGCTAGCAGCAATCTGCTTCACATCCATTTTTTTTCCCCTTTTGGCAGCAATCTATTTCACATCCATTTTCCCCTCTTATGCAAAGGCAAAGTGGAGAATGTTGGATGAATTTTGTGAATAGCGAGGCCGAAATAAGTATAATGATGATGACAAAGTCGAGGCAAGAGTTGGACTCTTTGTCCTTAAGTCGAATTTGCCCCGCAACGGTGCCTACGGATTTCGGCAATCAACTCCCAAGATACAACGGCTACACTTGTGTTTGTAGCACTCCAAAACACAAGTACAACGAACCAAATTTAGGCTTGTGTACTCCAAGGATGAAATGAAGGAAAATCAAAATAAACGAAATGATTTTGATTTTGGATAGAAGAGAGGATGAGAGATGTTTTGCATATCAAATTTTTTGTGGAATAGGACACCCAAAGGGTTCTATTTATAGACCATGAAAGGGTGTGGACGAAATGGTTGAGGCCAAACCATGCACCCTTTCTAAACAATGCACCTTTATGAAAAGGTCGATCCCCGTTTGTGCGCCCTGAAGCGGCGAAGTGACAAACAATTTTGCCTAAACAGATTGAGTCGAGCTTTTGAGTATTTGGCCGAAATCGATACGAACTTTAATCGATTTTCAATTCTCAATTTATTTAACTAATATCCAACAGAGAATCTACACATTCACAGATAAATGTAAAAATTTTTAAGTTCAATTAGTTAAATGGGTAGTGCTAACTAGAAATGATGATTTGCGGGTTGAATTAGTGAAAGGGTTTTTGCTTCCAGGTTAAGCGATCGTTACGGGTTTTGTCATATGCAGTGGTGGTGGCAATTGGTGCGGGGATGGTGGTTTGATGTGGTGGTACTGGTGGGGCAATGGTTGTTCGATCGGCATTGGGAAAGTGCTTCTCTTGTTTGATTATAAGCAATTAACTAATTCGTGCATATCATCATAGGCGATTTTCGCCTAAGCATAGATGAAATAAGAAGGAGAAGCTAACATTATTCAATCAAGTATTGATTCGAACTAACATATGGAGAGAAGGCCATTCCTTCTTCCTTATAGCAGGGAAGAGGTGATAAGCTAATTAATGGACTAACGATCTAGGGGAGTTGACATGATAGATGCACTTCATATGAAGTAAACGAAGGCTATCCCACAGTCCTCTTAAGTACACCTCTATTAGCAATTAAGAATTATAATTTTGTCGACAACGGCTATGAAAATCATAGACAATTTTATATCTCTGTTTTTTAAATTACAATCCCTATCAAACTACAAATGATCCATTCATAGTGACAAAAAGAAAGTTCAACATAGGGGTGAATAAGATTCGGTTTGAACAATTTGAGACAAATTTTAAACCAAACTACTTATTCCAAACCAAACCAAACCACTTCAATAGTTCAATTTCTAAACCAATCCAAACTACTTTTTTTTCTTCTTTTTTTTCCGGTTTAGTTCGGTTTAAAACCACGTTTTAACAAAGAAAAAAAATTAACATATATCAAATAAGTTAAATCATAAATATTTGTTTAAAATTTTACGTTAAAACATAAATTGTATCATTAAAAAAAAATTACAAATCAAAGTTATATAATTATAATCATTATAATGCAACATCATATAGATATTTTAAACTCTTAGTTGATAGTAATGGGATCCATCTGCAACTGTAATACACGGTTCATATCTGCAATTATAATACATGATTCATTATCTTCATAAATATATAAATATAGTACATACATTCATTGATTACAATTAACTGACATAAAATAACTAATTAAAGAAAATGAATAAAAAAATTCTAATAAAATAATACCTAGCTATTGTGACTTTTATGAATCATCCAATGTTTCTAGTCCATCTAAATATAGGCGAATTACTTTAGAGAGCCCGACAATTATTAGAACAAAATAATATAACTACCAGTAAAAACATAGATCATAATTACCAAAAAATAAAAGAATTTGGATAACCTAACCGGAGTTTAGGCAAAATTTGAGAAAATTATTAGTAGAAGAAAATGAAATGTGCTAGTTTGAATTAAAATCTAAATTTAATTGTGTGCTCAATTATGATGAAGGATCGATGAATATGGTTTAATAGCAGTTGTCCAACACTTTACTCAATTTGAGAATTTTACATTCACAGTTGTGAGGGCTAATGGATATTTGAATAAGATTTAATTAATTAATTGAGATTTATAATTGTCGAATTAAGTTTAATTAAATTATGTCTAATAAGGAAGTATCTTTTTAATTGAATTGCGTTAAGTTTAATTGGCTTAAATAAAATTTAGACTAATTTATTTTCACTTATTTTCTGTTTGTTTTGGTAAACATAGGCAATTTGAAACGGTTTGCAAAGATTAAATCAAATAATTTCGAAACGGTTTGGTTCTGTTCAAAACTAAAACGTTGATGGATCCATGTGGAATCAAACCAATGGTTTCAGAAAAATGGTTTCGATTCGATTTTACAATTTGGTAATTTCATTGTTCAGCCCTAGTTCAACATGATTATATGTGTTCTATTCTTGTGACTTGGAAGGTTCACTCCCCCCCCCCCCCCCCCCCCCACCACCTCTA